AGGTGAATCTGTGAAAACTCAGCTGTGATCAGTCAGTACTAGAACAGCAGTCTCTGCGTTCTCAAGAGGAAGGAGGACCTTTAATGGTCAAAATGTCTTAATTCAGCACATTCTGTGACGGAGATTGAAAGCTCAAAGAGATTATTAGCCTTTGATGTTCCCCTGTTATCTCCAGCCTGAATGAACCACAGTAATGTCCTGAAAAGTAAAAATGTATATCTTTACACTTTTATACGAATATGAAACAAAACGACGAGTTGATTGCAAATAAATCGGGTTTAATATAATCTTCAGAGCCTCGTTGAGGAGCAGCAGAGTCAGCTCAACCAGTACGAATGTGCGGCGGGTCAGTGCGTCAGCGAGCTGCAGAAGGCCCAGCTCCAGGTCCAATCCCTGCAGGCAAAGATCCAGGAGAGCGAGGCCAACAACATGGTGAGGCATGTTAAAAATAGCTACATTTTAATCACACTGCAGGTCTGATTTATTTATTTTTTTCTCCATTCCTAGAAGCTGCAGGAGAAGCTGACCGAGATGGAGTGTGAGCTGCGTTCGCTCCGACAGGCGGCCCAGAGTCAGGAAAGAACCATTCAGGGCCTCACAGAGTCCATCACCACCAAAGACAGCGAGGTCCGTGTTTGCAGACGTAGAAATCTGAAACATTTTTTTCTTTTAAGTGAGCTGACTCCTGTTTTCCTCGTCTCTCTGAAGGCCCAGGAGCTGTACCATCTGATCGAAGGCCAGAACAGCACTATGTGCAAGCTGCAAGAACTGGCCCATCGTAACCAGCTCACTCAGAGCCAGGTGAGACCCGCTGCGTGTCTTATGTCACGTCTCCCGACCCAGAATCTCGTGGTTAAGATGCGGAGCCTGATCGTTCGTATTTTCTCAAGACTCCCGCGGGGATGAGCGAGTCCCTGACGCTCGGCCAGCTGCAGGGTGAGCTGGTCCGGGTGCAGAGCTCTCTGTTCTCTCTGGGTCTGGAGCTGGAGGCCAGCCAGAGGAGTCTAAGGCAGAGCCAAAGGCAAGGCGACGACCTGCTGAGGTTCAAGGACCGGCTCAGCTCCGACCTACAAGAGGAACTGCAGCACAGGGGGGTCACAGAAAAACACAACCAGGTCAGCGCGGCCGTTCATGTGCCGCTTTTATACCCGGATGCACGAGGCGCGCGCGTGCGTGCGTGTGTGTAATCACTCCTGTTCCCGCCGCAGGACCTGCGCGGTGCTCTGCAGAAGATTCGCTCCGAGCTTCAAACCAGAGAAGCGGCTCTGAAGGAATGCGAGGCAGAGAAGACGGCAGTGACGCAGGAGAAAGACGGGATCATTGCTCAGCTCGAGCGCTCCCTGCAGGACAAGGAGCGGCAGCTGCAGGTAGGATCACGCACACAAAGACACAGGCGCTCATTATCATACGCTTCACGGAGCGGGCGTTGATCTTTGCTGTTGCTGCCTTCAGGAGTACTGTGACATGTTGGAGTCGACAAAAAGCTCCAAGCCAAGAGATGCTCTGCTAGAGAAGCTGAGGGAGCGGATTAAGGAGAGAGACCAAGCTCTGGAGGTAAAGCAGCCACACAAACGCCTCTTAGAAAATTGCATGACAATCATTCCTCCTCCCTTTTAAAAATGTTAATTAGCTTTTATATCACAGAAAGCCTTTGTAGTAAACTTTGCGACCTGTGATATGAGCGTCACGGCTGAACGTGGGCGGACCGTTCACTCGGTAGGCTTCAGTCGGCCATAGAAACTTAAAGATCAGAACAACAGAATATTTAAAGGGTGTTTGGTACTTTTCTTTTTTTTTTTTTATCTGTTTATTTATGTTTATTCTTGTTTCTTATTCCAAAAGAAGCACAACGTTCTGGAGTTGCACCCAATAAGTAATTGGTTTTCTGCTCGCAGCGCTCCATCGATGACAAGTTCCACTGTCTGGAGGAGCGCGAGGGCCAGGTGAGGGCGCTGCAGCTCGCCCTCAGGGAGAAGGAGCGCGACCTGGAGAGGCTCCGCTGCATCCTGTCCAACAACGAGGAAACCATCACGGTACGCTCATCGGCAAATGTCAGAGCTGTTTGTTTTTTTTCTCGCTGTCTGTACGAATGAATCCGTGTGGGCTTGTTTTTCCTCCACCGCCAGAGTTTGGACGCTCTGGTGCGCAGCAAGGAGCTGGAGTTGGAGCAGGCAGCGGAGGCCTACAGGAACCTGCAGTGGCTCAAGCAGAAGAGCGAGGAGAAGGAGACAACGGCTCTGAGGGAGAAGGACACCATCATCCACCAGCTGCAGGCGGCCCTGCAGGCGCGCAGCCAGGAGATGCAGGTAACGCCCAACACGTCCTCCGTCATACGGGCGCTGCTGGCTGCCCAAACCTGTGCTGCCGGTTTTACTTTTGCCGACGCCGCTTTCTGTTTTGTGTACCACGCGCAGGATCTAACGACCACCCTCGTTGCCCGGGTCCAGGCCGGCCCCACGGGGGTCGTGGAGGAGCTGAAGGCTCGGCTGGCCCTTAAAGAGAAACTGTTCCAGGAGCTGCTGTCCGACCGCACCCGGCAGACCGACGAGCACCAAGCGCAGGTCCTGGATCTGCTCAGCACGCTCAGCTCCAAAGACCAGTACCTCCAGGTTGGCAGTGCAGATGGAAAGAAAATGCACCTAAGCGGATAGATCGGCGCTAAAAAAAAAAAAGAAAAAAAGAAATCTTAAGAAAAATCTCTCCGTCCTTTATTTCTTTCAGGATTACTCGTACAGGCTCTCCTTGGTGATCACCGAGCGGACAAACGAGCAGCAGGAACTTCGCAAGCAGCTGACACAGACGGAGCAGGAGCTGAGCGAGCTGAGGCGAGAACGGGAGAGGGAGACGGGAGGAGAGGCGGAGCATCTGCGAAGCCTGCTCAAGGAGAAGGAAGCCTTTATTAAGGTACCTGCTGATCCTTCGCTCTTTGGTTTTCCCTCCTCACCTTGTCTTCTACGTTCCTAATCTTACGCCACGGTACACTTTGTGTCAGGAGCTGATCCAGGAACAGGAGGAGGCCATGCAGGAGGAGAGGGAGGCCGAAGTGAAGGCTCTGAAGGACGAGATCCAGCTGGTGTTGAGGAAGGAGAAGGAGGCTCAGGTATCTTCGTCTGAAACTCCGAGATGCTGCACCAAAGTCACGTTTGCGATATATTTTTTTTTTTTACACGGAGTCGTTCTCTTGATGCAGAAGGAGATCGCTGACCTGCGCTCCTCTCTGGCCCATCGGCAGACTCAGAATGCGGCGACAAAAGACGGAGCTCATCAGCAAGTAAGAGTGCGTCAATTAGAGGAAACAAGTCATTTTTCCATTTTTATCCTTTTGCACTATGTGGATTTATTCATAGTTTTATTCACATAACCACAGAATTTGACACATTTTATTGGTATTTATAGCAAAGTCAGATGCAAAGGGGCATGTATTTTAGAACTAAAAGAATATGTATCAATGAATGGCCTTTTTTTTTTTTAAATAAAAGAATATGGCATGCATTTCCATTCAACCCCTATACAACTCCAATTACGCAGTTGATGGAAACTAAATATCGAGAAATTCTGAAGAGAAAAAACTGCAAAAGACTTGAGACTGGACTTGAGATCATCATGAGCTGCTTTGTGTTTGTGTATCATGTGAAATCAGAAGAAAATACATTTACGTTTGTGGTTGTGATGTTACAAAATGGTGGGTGAAAACAACTTTTGCAGAGCACTGTTTATTTTTAACCTCTACCTCTGGTTTCCAGTGTGTGCTAGAGCAGCTGGTGTCTGAGTACAACAAGCTGAATGATGCCCTGAGGACAGAAAAGAGGCTATACCAAAATCTGACCCAGCTTAGCAGAAGTGATGGGTAAGTGGGGGAGGAGGGATGCTTTCATCTCTGCAAATACAAAATGTCTTCTTTTTGGATTTTATGTTTTTTTTTAACATTTTTTTTTTTTTTCATTTTTTTTTTTTTTTCGACAGCAACAGCAGCACAGAGAAGATCCAGACCCTGCACACCGAACTAGACTCGGTTCAGGCGCTTCGAGGGCAGCTGGAGGAGGTTCTGTCCAGGACCCGTAGGATGGCCCTGGCACTGGAGCGGGCAGCTAAAAGGCAGCCTGAGTTTGGAGGTGGGAATGGCGGGGACTAGCCTCCACGGCTGCAGCCGGCCACTCACTAACGCTGCCCTGACGCTCAGCTCTTCAGAGTGAAAGTCTTAAAAGTGAGACAGAGCTGCCTCTAAGGTCTGAGGGTCCGAGAAACGGCTGAATTTCTAAAGAGAGAACCGCGAAGAAGAGAGTCTGACCCTCAGTCTGGAGGCAGCTCTGCCCAGTCAGCACCAGCTCTACTCACAGAACAGGCTCTGTTCACATTAACCTCTCTGAAACGAAATATGTGCACCTCAGAGCTTTTATCTATATATATATATATATAATATATTCTGTGATCATTGTGTGGATGTGTTTTCCGTTGTTTCTGGTAACTGCCTGCTCCGCAGTTTGGTTTGCTCCGCATTGCCGTGTCTCGCCGGCCGTGTTGTTGCACAGTGAAGTTTCGTCTTGTGGAGACTCTCAATCTCGCGCCTTACAGTGAAACGTCTCACCATCCATCGTTTGTTTTATGTCATCCGTGTGTCTGCATTTGACGAAGATGGCGTAGGATTTCAACTCTTGAGGGTTAACCTTAAGCTTCAGCTTTTTTTTTTTTCTTCAGCGCTCTGTAACGTAAAACCTGCTTTGCTCCAGTTTTTTTTTATATATATATATATATATTTAGTCTAAATATAAGCTGGTAGGTACTGCTTCAGATAGAAAAGTAATGTCACTATTTTAATAAATGCATCATTTTGCAACATGTGCTCATCAGTTCTGTGTTGTAGTGAGCAATATCCAGATGTGAAACGTTGCCTGCCCGTTAGAAATTAATATCGGTAGAGGACATATTCCAGGAAACCTCATCTTGCCTGAGAGGTGGAATAAATGTCAACATTTTTGATTTTTTTTTTTTCTTTTCTTTTTTTTAATGCAATAAAAATAAATGTACTGTTTTTTGTCAAAAGGACCTCTGGTATTGACTTATTTTTTATTGTGTTTAATTAGAAAGTTGTTATAAAAAATACTACATGCCAAAAGATAAATCTACAAAATGGTCCTTGGTTACCTCTCCTTAGATCCAACCTCAAAGGGATTTTCTGTTTGAAATCTTACAACTGAATCAAGTTTTCTGAATTTTGTTTCATTTTTGTAAAAAAACAAAAAAACAATGGATCCACGAACACTAAATGAAAATACGTTCTTGTCCGAATTTAAACTTCCCTCCATCTCTTTGCTTCCTGGTGCATGAAACTGTGGCATGGTTGTCCTGTTTGCATGACCGTTCTGACTCTAACACCCTGTTTCATATTCCCATTCTGCAAATAAGGAATATATATATATATACACATCAGGCATAACATTATGACCACTGAGAACAACTAGTTATCCCTTCATTGGAACGTAACGGGCAACAAGTTAACATTTTGCCCTCGCATCAGGAAAAACGGGGAAGGGAAGGATGTGAGCGAGTTTGACAGCTGGGTCAAAGCCCCTCTGGTACTGCAGCTCTGGTGGCGTGGTCCCAGTCTGTAGACTATCCAAAACTAATAATCCAAGGAAGAACATATTCAGGGGCAGATGTAAGTGAGGAGCAAAGGTTTGGCTTGAAATATGACAACGCTAACTTACAAGTAACTTCTCAGTGAGACATGAGAGGTTATTTTAAGTCAATAATTATTAAAGACTTTGATGCTTGGACAGAGAGTGACTTATTATTAGGCTGGTAGTCATAATGTTATTCCTGATTTTTGTAGGATCTTTGATAATAAAATAGAAACGATCACTTCTTTGCTATAAAAACTTGTATGATTTAAACACACTGAGTCTGTGGAGCCACAGCAGCAACAGAGCCCCACATTCAGCCCTCTTCAGTGCCCACAGAGCATTGTTCAATCAATAAATATTTGGCTGTGTGAGTTGGCTGCCCTGTCACAAACCCTCCCCTTACACTTGTTTACAGATAAAGAAACAACTTTTTCTGATAGTAAGTGATTTGATCAACTGGCCCTAAAATGCTCTGAATATCTAAAAACAAACCTGCGACTCTCACTGGACACTTTGTGGCGTGCGAGTCTGTTTGGTCAGCAGGAACGAATGCGTGCATCTATTTCCTGCTGAGTCACTTTCCACTGAACCGCTTGTTTCCTGCAAAGCAAAAGTCTTCTCCAGTTCCTCTCTTACTCCTTGGATTATTACCCTCAATACGTCAGTAAAAATCTAAATCTATTAAATGTGATGAGCAGCGAGCACAGAGTTCTTCAAATGTCCAAACCTGCATGGCCTTATAAGTTGGCTAACAAAACATGACATAACATTTCCCTCCAGTCCCATGACTCCCAGTGAGGTGGTTTAGAGCCGAGACGTCTGTGGAATGGAGTGGTGATGCAGGAGCAAAACAAAGAACAGAAAGAAAAACTTATTACATAACAGAGCCAGAGGAAGTGGATGTTGCCCTTACATGGTTATTGTGCTTCCAGAGTTCAGCTCAGAAGAGGAGGAGGAGGAGGAGGTAGACGATGAAGATGTCAGCAGCGAGGAGTTCACTGACAGCATAGAGGAGGAGGAGGATAACAGCCTGAACTCCACTCAGGTAAAAGCCCATTTTCATCCCTTTCAGAAAAAAATTTTTTTTGGCTTTTCTGAGAACAAAATGGACGCGTTCCTGTCCCGTTAGGCCTCAGCGAAGCCTCAGAGAGCCGGTGATGAGTCCGGGCGACTGGTAGAGGAGACGGTGCACCACCTAAAGCAGCTTGAAGGAGCCAAGAGGACCCTAGATGCTCAGCTTGAAGAAGTGCAGTCGCAGCTGGAAGAGGATGGATACGCGTCTTTATCTGACATGAGGTGGACGTTTCAGAATCTCCTCAGATTTCCTGAAACTTTTTTTATATTTTACTTTCCTCTTCCTCTGTGTGGATTCATCATCTTTTTTTTTCTGGTGGCTCTGTGTTTGTTTTGTTTTTTTTCTTTACTTGCTGTAGGAGCGCCTTGCAGAGGTTGCAGCAGGAGAACGAGGCTCTGAGAGAAAGCCAGGGGTGTCCAAGAGCGGGGGGGCAGAGGAGGAACGCAGAGACCAAACTGAGCCGACGGGAGGAGAGGGAGAGGAGCAGCGCCGAGGAGGACGATGAAGAGTTTGAATCGTCTCCAGTGGTGTCGGGGAAGCGAGGTCCCTCTAGTCTGAGCGCCGAGTCGGGGAAGAGGCACTGCATGAGGCCGAGCTCGCTGGACCTGAAGTCCAGACAGGCTGAGACGGTGATATTTTATTCACATTTACTTTAACAGCAATTGTTAGCCATCAAAAAACTTCTGAATTTGTAATCCTACACAATCACAAGGGGATTTTATCTGGCTACAACTCAGGGCACGACTAAATGTATTTCACAGTGTACTGGAAAAGTTTTCACACCCTGTGAACTTTTTGAAAGTCACAAACTTCCTTTTATTTTATTTTAATCTTATGTGACCAACACTAACCAGCATAAAAATCTGTGAGGGAAAAGAGGCATCACTTTTATATATATTTTTTTTAAACAAATAAAAAAACAGAAAGGTGTGACATGCGTTTTTTTTTTTTTTTAGTCAACTTTGCTGAGTCTGTACCTCAAGAAGCAACTTGCCCCAGTGTACATTTATGGCCAATTCTGCTTTTCAAACAAGTTCAAGTTCAGTCAGATTGGATGGAGATTGTCTTCATTCAGGTTTTTGATTTGCTTTCCCGACCCTTTAGTAAAATATTCCCACAGCATGATGCTGCCTCCACCATGTTTCAGCACAACGAAGAATAATTTTCATTCCTTTTCACTTAAATGTGCCACATTGTGTTTGTCTATGACATGCAAGCCATTTCCATTAATTTTTTTATGGTCCAGAAACTTAAAAAAAATAAAGTTCAATAAATTAATTAGGAATGTATTTCCCCCACTTTATCTATAAAATTAATTTTAGGTGAATTCTGTGCGTCGCAAAACTTGTTGATATATCCTGTGTAATGTTAACCTTTAAAATTTTACGTTTTAAAAACTTTTTTACGTAAAAATTCCCAATTTTCAGTCAGTGATGTAGACAGCCACAGCGGCGCACATCTGAACCTGTTTCGTTGCTGAATCTCCGCCCTGTTGCAGACGGTGGAGTCCGCCGGCAGTGGCAGTGAGGCCGCAGCGATTTGGCAGGATATAGAGGAGGGTCTCCGGGAGCAGGCGGCTCGTCTTCGCTCTGACCTGAGCCTGAGCCTGCAGGAGAACAGAGAGCTGAAAGAGAGGCTGATGGTGTCCGAAGCCACCGTCCAGGCTCAGGCCGAGCAGCTCAAGGACTACAGAGATCTGCTAAGTGAGTTTGTCATTTGTAAGCAGAGGGACATGCGCGGACATTTTGGGGAGCGGGTGTGCAAGTATAAAAAAAAGGTCACCTTGGAACCGCCAACTGCCTTAATAGTGTGAGGTTTATTAAAGGCCGCACACAGCACTGTAAAAAAGAACTTTTTCAGAACAGGTGGTCTAGCGCCCCCTGGTGTCCGTCTGTGACACCACCTGTGTGGAAGACCAGGTTATGCTGAAAAACACAATCAGGTTGTGGCTGCTCCTGTGTTATTGCAGCAGAAACGTCCGTGCAGCAGGCCAGTAAGCAGGTGCAGGTGGATCTCCAGGATCTCGGCTACGAGACCTGCGGCCGCAGTGAGAACGAAGCCGAGAGGGAAGACGCCAGCAGTCCAGGTGATCCACACACACACACACACACACACACACAGACCCGTCTTCCCGGAGACCAAAACGTTCATTCTCAACCGCCTCCTGACTTGTCGGGCTTCATTGCGCCTCGTCCTTTGTCGTCCGATCAGAGTTTGACGACTTGGAGATGTGCACGTCGCTGTCCCAGCCTCAGGACTGTGAGGGTGCGGGCGGCGGCTGGTACGGCGGGAACTGTAGCGTGAGCAGAGGGGCTTACAACACGGGGGACGAGTCTGCGTCTCTCCAGCATCTGATCCGGGATCTGCGCTCCCAGCTGACCCGCTGCCACAAGGTGATCCGCGGACTGCAGCTGCGCGTCCGCTCTCTGTCCGCCACCAGCGACTACGCCTCCAGCCTGGAGCGCACGCCACGCAAGGTGACCAACACATCACCCTGCAGGATTTTTTCCTTGATTTTGTTCATGTGGGTGAGGAGAAGCGGATCTGGTCTGTGGTGACCTCTGGAAACTTAAAACAAAAGTGTGAATATTAAACATCTTGCATAACATAGTTGACTGACACCATATTTCGTTTGATTTCGTAAATGTAGACGAGGTAGTTGACCTTCGATGACCTTTGGAGACATTTATGAATATCACTGAACAAACATTTTTGCAGCACAAACATTTCACACCGATGTCATTTAATTTGAAGAAGGTGGGAGGAACCAAATTCACTCAAGTGAATTAAAAAACTAACTTTTTAAAACATTTGTAATTCATAGACGTCCATTTAAAACATGAATGCAGTTTTGATTAATTGTTGTTTAAGTGATTTTCTAAAACAGTTCAATGATGTCTCTTAATTCTAATGGTTTGACGCTCAGACTGACCAAAGGAGTTTTCCTCCCACTAGCTGCTCCGTTTGATGCCCACCTTTCAGGTCAACTGGGCGTTTGAGAGGTCGGCGGGCCCCAGTGCAGCGGAGGAAGATGAAGGCTGGATGTCAGACACGCAGGGAGTCCGCTCCAGCTCCGGGCACAGCAGGGAGCTGCAGGAGCTCATGGAGCGAGTCGCGTCGCTTGAGGCTCAGCTGAAAACCACTGCTGCAGAGGGCAAAGGTCAACCGGAAGAGGGGAAATGTGCCACCTGGCCTGGGTGAGATAACATAGACTGAAGTAGGGAGAAGTTCTTACAGCGAGAAGCACATTTTCACTTGGGCAGATGCACTTTCTCTATTCCCTAGAGTTTGTCAGCAGATGCTCATGAGTTCAGTCATAAGACTCAGAAAACTGTTATCTCTAAGCCACACAGCGGTTCACGTCAAACCTTCCTCTCCTTAGGAAGTACAACTCTCTGATCCAGGCTCAGGCTCGTGAACTGTCCCACCTCAGGCAGAGGATGAGAGAGGGCCAGGGGGTCTGCCACATCCTGACGCAACACCTGGGGGACACTACCAAGGTGCCGCAGCTTCTCATTGTTTCCGCCAAATTTCTTCCGTCTTCTACAACAGAGAGAAGATTTCATGTTTACACTTTCATACTCGCTCCCTAACTGTCCTCAGGCTTTTGAAGAGCTCCTGCGGGCCAACGACGTCGATTACTACATGGGTCAGAGCTTCAGGGAGCAGCTGGCTCAGAGCAGCGCCCTGGCTCAGAGAGTGCTCACCAAGATAAGTGGACGTAAGGAGAACTTTTCTGTCAGGTGTCCCAGCAGGAGAACCATATTTACTTTATCATCCCTTGAAGTTTTTGCTCCTTTAACGTGTTCCAACTTTCCTGATTCCTAATCACAGGTGAGGGGACCGAGAACCACAGCGAGAAAACAGGCCATGAGCTGCTTGCCTTACGGTGCGTCATCTCATCGATTTTCATACTCACAATCCTTTTTTGTGTCCGTGCGTGTGTGTGTGTGTGTGTGTGTGTGCATGCATGCGTGCGTGCGTGTGTTGCTGAAGGCGACTAGAGGTTAATCCGCTCTCCTTGGTTATTCCAGATACTTCAGTTCAGTAAGTGGCTTTGAATGTATGTCCTGAATTTTTTTTTTTCTTTTTTTCTTGCAGGCTGAGTAAGGAGCTACAGCAGAAAGACAAACTCATCGAGTCACTCCACACCAAGCTCCACCAGCGTCCTGAGACTCCGTCCAGCTGCCACGCCCTCTCTGAGACCACCGACCAATCGGACAGGACCTCCCTGGTGTCCGATGAGTACCAAAGCAACGAAGACTTGGAGCTGTGCTCGGACATGGCAGCCACAGAGCTCCCGGAGGAGCAGCGGCTCCGGCAGCAAGGCCACGCGTCACAGCCAGACGGTACTCTTAAACTCTTAAACTGACTTGCTCTTTCTCCCTGAAATACGCATCGTTCTGTCCCTTCATCTTCCATGCACCCTCCCCTAGTCTGTCCATCTCTCCCGCCTCTTCGTGGCCTCCTCAAGGCTTCCAACAGCTGTCCCAGCATGCTTTGCTCTTCTGCAGTTAGAGGTATGGGATTCACTGCAAAAGAAAGAAAAAAAATTCTTCTTTTGTGTTTGCTATGTTTAATTTCCTGTCATTCTCCACCAGCCCCTTTCAGTGCACCCATCTCCTCCCTCTCTGTGTCCTCCGGCCCTGACGTCTGGGGTTACGAAGTCATTTCTGACCCCCGGCCCAGGGCCCTGTCTGTTGCCGCTGTTCGCCCAGAGCTGGACATGCTCTACAGACAGATGCATGAGCAGAACAGGGGTGAGGGGCCACAGAGAGCGTGTCACAAGTGAAATGTTTTGGATTTGGACATTTTCGCTCCGTCTCTGGCTCACTCTTCTCGTCCTGTCCGCATGCGTCTGATTGCAGGATTCCCGGTCGCCCAGGACACGACCCTGTTCGGCCTTCCGCCTGGCCCGCACAACCAGCACAACCTCTCCAGCTACAACCAGCTATCCCATCATGCCTTTCAACACTACCAGCTGGGTGGCATCCCTGAGTGCCACTCCGTTAAGTCTGACTCAGGTCTTTTGAGAGGGCAGCCTCTGTGGGACGTGGACAGCTTAGTTCAGCCAAACGGGACCTTTTCTGGAAACCAAACACCAAGCAGTCAAACAGGTGAGGCGGTGGTGTGGAAAAACAACTTTGGTCACTTTTTGTTACTTGGCAACCAGGAACTATAATGCCGTTTTGGTCTGGGTTAGACTTTAGAAACGACTTACAGGAGCAGTAGGCAACACATTTTTTTTTTTTTTTAATGAGTCTTGCAAACATTGCATTTTATATAAGAGTTGCCTGCTCATATCAGGAAAACTGTAGTAATACATTTGGATTTTAATTCATATAAACAATACTCAAGTATTGAAAATGAGGAAGTTATAGTCATTTTTGGGAGGAACAACTCGATGCTACTGGGCAAGGGACATATTAAACCTACAGCTGGTATCATTTCATAATTAATTATGTAAAGAACTACCTGTTAATGTTCTGTAATTTGCATTAGCAACATAATTGTTCTTTTAATAAGGCACCAAAACGGTTTCCAGCCCACGTCCTTTTAAATCTGACTCTGAGTTTTAGGTGATCGACCAACAGAAGAAAGTGCTCTGCACCAAAACTGAACCCACCATCCTCACTGAAAGGCACGGTCATGGCAGCATCATGCTGTGGGGATGCAAAGTCTGAAATTAAATCCAGCTGAGAATGAGTTTGCAGAATGCAGCATAAATTCTTCTTTTGATACGCAGATATGGCGGAGATTAACCCCAAGAAAGATTTGCTGGGCTCTCTGTAGAGAAAGGTGTAAATGTTTAGAGGGCTCCACATACACACTCACGCCGTCAAACCTTTCAAATATTTATTTATTTATTTTTGTCTGTCACGTGTAATTCCGATAAAACAGACAAAAAAAATGTTGGTTGTGTTGTGACAAAATGTTGAAAAAGCGCAAGCGGCGTGAACCCCCGTATCCTGGGCTTCGCCATCTTGGAGGGAGAAACAAAGCTGATGATGTACTGCTTGTCCGCAGGAGTGAATTTGATCGAGGAGCACCTCCGAGAGGTCAGATGCCTCCGTCAGCGCTTGGAGGAGTCGATCAGAACCAATGAGAGGCTCAGGCAGCAGCTGGAAGATAAACTGGCCTCCACCGGGCGGGATGGAGGTAAAGAGTCTGCAGGATGCGTCTGAAGCATCTCTTTCTTTCAACTGAATGACAATAATCACCTTTGCCTTTTCAGGAGCACCAACAAACATCTACATTCAGGGACTTGACACGGTCACCCAGCTTTCTAGTGAAATCAGGGTCCTGAAAGAGGAAAATCTCAGTCTGCAGTCTCGCCTGCAGGCCAGCACAGGTGCACGGTCATTGAAAAGCTTCCAAACAACACAAACTCATTTTCATCTCATGAATTGCTCCCGTAAAAGCTGCCGGGTGCTCTTGCCGTCAGACACAAGCGAGGAGGTGGCGCAGCTGCGGGAGGCCGTGTTCGCAGCCAGAACCCGCCTGAAGCAGGCCGAGCTGGAGGCCGAGCAGTGGAAGGAGGAGCTGCGGCGCCTGCAGGCTCACACTCAGGAGCAGGGCCAGCAGATCCACGCTCTGAGGCAGGAGCGACAGGCCAACCAGGACAAAACCAACAGGTTGCTGTCGCTCCTTTCCGCGCCGATTCTCTCCGTTGCGTGTTTTGTGTTGCTTTTATGAATTACAAAACTTCGCCTCGCCAGGCTCCAGCACGAGACGTCTCTGCTGCAGCAGCAGCTGAGTGAGAGCAGAGAACTGATCCACTCGCTGCAGAGCGAGCTGCACGTTTATGACCGAGTGTGTTCCAGCACCAAGCCTAACAAAGGTCAGTCTGTCATTTTGTTTTACCCACATTTTAGTGATGACATTTGAATATGTATCTACAGTTTATTGTAAATGTCCCTGTGGGTGGCTCCATCTAGTGGTAGAGTCATTAATTACAACTTCGGCTTTTTTATATTTTACCAAGTTATAACCTCAAATTATAAGTGATATTTAGCCAAAACATTACTGGCACAACTATACCAACTCCCAATACGCATAGAGAGGGCCAAAAATCAGATTAGATTAAGACTCCAATAAAACTTGAAGTGAAAAGCATTTTACTAGTAGACCAACGCATTTTCACTCATGTGATATTCAGCCCCCTTTATACTTATATCTTTAAATAAGTCACATACATTGTAAGTAGAATCAAAACTGTTGATCAGGTGAGCATTTCTTTTAAAATCTTCCACAGATTTTCATTTGGATTTAGGTCCAGACTTTGACTGGGCCACTCTAGCCTATGACAATAATGTCTGGCTTCTTGAAACTCTTAAATAAAGGGCAGATTTTTAGAGTTTGCGCCTTATGTCAATCATTTTCCTCCCTCTTTAGAATTACCTGCTACCCTGTGTTAGTCTATCACAAAAAAACAACACAAAATACACTAAAGACTCAAAAATTATTACACAAATTCAAACAAAGTTTATGCCTGGCAAATTCAAAATTATTTTTGCCAGGCACTTTAAATAAATCAGGACGACACCTTGAAGGTCTACTTCAAGCCCCACATCCAGAGCTTCTTCCTGTATATTTCCTGCTCAGGGTATCTGTGTGAGGTGGCGGGTTTCCCAGTGGAGCTGGGGGAGCTGCTGGGGGAGGTCAGGAGTCTGCGGGCCCAGCTGCAGAGCAGCGTGCAGGAAAACAGCGCTCTCAAACAGCTGGAGCTCCACAAGCAGCTGGAGCAGAAGCTAGGCGTGGGGTCGCCGCGGGCTCCGTCTCTGTCCGCGCTGACCGCCAGCCCTCAGAGGGAAACCTTCTACAGACGACAGCTGCTGCACGGTGAGACCGAGCTTTCTAAACGCAGCGACTCGCTCGTGACACTCGGCGTGCCGTGGTGTGTGTGGACTGCAGTGTGTCCAAGCCTGCTCTGTGTGTGTCTGTGTGCTCCACAGACCCGGCGCCGTCTCCGCCGGTCAGGGACATCGGTTTGTTTAACTGTGGATCTCCTGGTCCCCCCTACTCAGACCTGGACGACAGCCATAGCCCTGCTAATGGTGTGACCTTAACCACTCCTGCATTACAGTAGTTTATGCATGCTTTATTAACAATAAGAACAATAACGTTTTGTTTTACTTTTATCTGCCTGTTTCTGTATAGTTGTGATCAAATCGAAGCTCTGCTAACTCTCTTTCCCATTAAAAAGAACAAATTCTCGTGACAGCCTGCAGACAATCTGACGCGCCTCTGCTTCTCCAGCAGACTCTCTTGACCCTCACTCAGAACTGGAAGGGGAGGCACCAGATGGGTCGTTTGCAAACCGTAACGGTCGCCACACCATTGGCCATGTCGATGACTTCAGCGCGTTGCAGCAGCAGGTCCTGGAGGGCCGGAGCCTCGTCCAGCGCATGGAGGCCACCTTGCAGGCCTGTCTCACCCCGCCACTGCTGGAGGGCAAACAGATAGAGGGCAGCGACCTGGTCTGTGCTCATCACCGGCTCGCTCCGTCATGTAAAAAAAACTGTGATATACTCCTAACTAAACGAGGTGCGTTTGCAGGCCGTGGACTATGGATGTGTGAAGAGTCTTCTGTCCAACACCAAGACTCTGAGGCAGATCCTGGAGGAGGCCATGTCTCTGCTGAAGATGTTCTGGAGGGCAGCTCTTCCTAACACAGATCCCTCCATCCAAAACCTTAAGAAGGTCTGAGAAACATGAACGTATATTAAATTAATTTACTGATGTATAATTAAACATGTTAAAAGTATTGTGTGTGTGTGTGTGTGTGTGTGTGTGTGTGTGTGTGTGTGTGTGTGTGTGTGTGTGTGTGTGTGCGTGCGTGTGTGTGTATGTGTGTGTGTGTGTGTGTGTGTGTGTAGGAGCAGTGCCTGCAGGAGGAGATTTTGTCCCTGAAGCTGCGTATATCTGAGCAGGAAGAAGTTCTTAAAGGGACAGTACAAAGACTTAGGAGCACCAGCCGCACCAAGGAGAGCATGGAGCACTTCATCGTCAATCAGTGTGAGTTTTTTTAAGTATCTCTTTGTGCAAGAAAATGTGGAAAAACAAGCACATCAATACGCCAAAAGACTTGCAGCTGTAAGTGAAGTGAAAGTTTATTCTACAGTGTTTTGACCGTGGCAGACTAAATGCAAACGTGCACCACTGTTTTCCTATTCTTGTTTATAAAAACGTTGAGTTATTGTCATTCCTTTTCACGTTGTGAGCTACTTTGTGTTGGAATATTGTATAAAATCCCAGTAAAATACAAGGAAATGTGTGATTGTAATGTCACAAGTTCAAACTGTTTTTATCCTTAGATGTGCTTGAACTAAATCTTTTGACTTTCTTTTTTTGTTGTTTTTGCAGTATCAAGGACCCGCGATGTGCTGAAAAAAGCCAGGACTAATTTAGAGGTAACCACTCTATTATTCTGTTAGATAACATTAGATTATCTGTGTTTGTGCTCCATGTTCATCTTGTGCAGTGGTCAGGGTTACTTGTTATGTCTGAAATGTGTGTTACAAAGTCATCACTACTGTCTCCTTGTTCCTTCATTCTGAATTTGTCTCTCCTCCTTTCTCCCCCTTTATAATCCCTCAGAAGAACGAGCTGAGGCTCTCCTCTCTAAGCTCCTCCCCCTCCTCTCCTCCTGCTGGTAATTGTCTGACATCTTGTGTTGTGCCACACGGGTACATGCCGCCCCAGACTTTCCGCTTCTCATTATCTCAAAGATGATGGTTTATGGAGTTCTTGTTCTGGCAAAGGCGTTTCTAGGAACTGGAGCTGCCCTTTTTTGGTCATAATGACATCACTGCTTCACATCCTACAAACTCAGAACTGTATTTTTACCATCTTTTTTATTTATATATATATATATATATATAAACTATGTTCTTTATTATTTTGTATCATAAAACTAGAGATCATAAAACTAGACATTAAGTTGTTTTGACATATTTCTTCACATAATGCTTCCATAACCATGATTTTCTCAGCTTCTGTTATTGGTACTCCTTATGTGTAAAAAGCCACAAAATTAATTTATCTTTCATTGCGGGAAAAGGATAGTAGGATAATAATATAAAAAAGATGACTTTATTTTAAATTTCTTCTTTTTTTTTTTGCCAGTGATGCCAATAAATGATTGATTGATCTAAAACACCTCTTACTTTCACACAACTTTAAAAGAAAAATAACAGATTTACCTCTTAAAAGCAAAGTAAACATGTTGCTGAAAGCGTCAAACTACCCCTTTCCCCTTTAACTTCACACCATTTTCCTGGACACTTTTTACAAGCCCTGACCATTGAACATACTTGGCTTTTCTTGTCATCCCCAGCTGAGGAGCTTGGAGGTGTTGCCAGAGCACGGCCTCCTGATCGCGGTGTCCTGATGAGCGGCGGCTTTCCTGGAATCACCGGAGCAGAAGCCACTCAGCGTCTGGCAACGAGGAAGCGCAGCAGCCAGTGTCTGCTTTAGACTCCCAAAGCACCAACCTAAGTGCTCCCATGTCTGACCTCTCTGCTTAAACAGACCCCTCCCTCATCACATACTCCTTCCCATTTGACCCTGCCCACTCTTCTCCATCCAGCCGCCCCTTGTTCGTCTGGACAATACAGTCAGAGTACAAGCTGCACCTTGGCCCTCCCCTCACCCCTGTTCACCTCTGTTGTTGTCTTTGAGTGAAACAGTCAGCAGTTTGCTTGCTGTGTGTAAGATCGAGGGGCTGATTGAAAAGTGCTTCTGATGGTTTCAGGGATGTGCGTCCTACAGTCCCGAAGTGTCTTTAGATGCCTTTAGCTCTGGTTCGAGGATTGCACACATTTCTTGTGGGTTTCTGATATATTTCAGGTACAGATACTCATCTGATCTGCACCCACACAGAGCCAGACAGCCTGTAGAGAAAGAGGGTTTGCGTATGTTTGAAGTGGCTTTTGAGATGTACTCTGCACACAGACGCACACATGTAAAGTCCCATCAGTTTGTGTGCGATCGAACGGTTCACTCAAAGATAAGTTCATTTCCCCTAAACCTGCCACTGAAATGCAACTCTCCTCCTTGTGGCAGGAGGTTAGAATTTTTACAAATGCAATGCAAAGAAATGCCGGAGGGATGTGCCGTGCACGATGTGCGCTAGCCGTTGTGGAGAAAGCCAATAGCTAAGATTATTTGTTGTTGAGGGATGCTACAACCAAGCCCCACGCCTCCTTTTCAATGTCCTCTAAGTTTGCAAAATCACAAAAACTGGGAGCTGCGTGTGCCAGAGGAACCAGGCCGTGCTCACTCCCCAGGGGGCTTCTCATGCGAGCATGTGCAATAACGATGTTTCTTGAGTAACTGCGCTGCACTGGATCACAGTTCGCAGCGTTTGCCATGGTTTGGACACAACCGGTGTCATGATTGTATTTATTTCTTGAGTGTCGATGCATGACAAAGATTGTGCACATGAAAATCGGAGCGCTGGAACGAGTCGCAGCCGATTCTTGCCAAAGTTTGAGCCTCAAACTTTTCACTCTGACTCGCCTCGTCCACATGAATGAGAAAACTTATATCAGCAACAGTGTCACCACGTTGTCTTGTTTTCCTTTTAAACCATAGAGACGGCAACCGTTAGACACCTATTGAAACATTTTTTTGGACCAGCACTCCAGCAGATTTTTCAGTCAAGCTATTTGTTAATGTCTCTTAATGTTATTTTTAGTATCCCCTGAGCAAAGGCAAAAAAAAAAAAAGAACAAATTCTTACAAATGATGCAAACTTTGGCGGGCTGCCTGTCACTTATCACCTAAAAAGCTAATTTTCCCGTTTGTTTTACTGTTTTGTTTTGTTTTTTCCCCTTTTTTTTGCTGTAGATGATGCCATTCTGTGCTGTAAATATCAGCTTTGTGTGCATGTTTGGGTATTATGCGTGAAAACAGCCAACATTTGCTTTTTTTGCAAAGTTGATTATCTGGGTACCTGTGCAATAGCTTGATTATTTTTGGTTTATTTTGATGTCAAACATCATTATGGTGTGTCTGTTTGCTATTCACCTCCTCCAGTGTACAATGCAGTGTATGCAGTGTTATTAGAGGATCAAGCCACTTTGAATTAATTAACTGCATAGGCTTACACCTGATAAGTAAGCAGACTAAGCCTTCATCATATGTAATACACTGACCATGTATCTCCTACTATAAGGCTCTGATTAATGTTGCTTCGCTTGCCTTTAACCTTAGCGTGAGAGTTTGCTCTCAGAGGTAGAAATGGCCTTGACCAAGCGTCTACTTGATTTCTGTTGAAGTGGGTTTTGTTCACGCTCGAGTTTTCAGGAAAGAAGAAAAAAGACAAAAGTTGCCAAGTATTTCAAAGTTAATGGGAGATGTTTCGAGGAATTTTGTTTTAAAAAGTGTCTTCTGAAATGATTGTAATACACTGAATCAACAGAGCACCTTGTTAGAGCGTGAACAAAGCCTGTTTTTTCTTTGCTATTTGCTAATAAAAAGGGAACCAAACAGTAGATTGTTGTTGGTATTGAATTGCATATGTATATAGTGCTATCTGATTGGTGCAGGTATATCCTGAGTTCATGCTTATTGACGTAGTTGGCCGATACAGGACACTGTTGAGTCCTGTGTCTGATCAGGTGTGTTGCATTAAAGAAAAAGTTCTTGCGATGATGAATTGTCAGAAGGAATGAATAAAACACTTAAAAACTTCTGTGGTTTTCTTCTCATTACAATGCGCCTGCGACACTTGATTTAGTTTTAGTCTGAAAACTCATCGGCATATGTGGTTTCTGATAAGCAAGAGCTCATGAACACAATGACTGGAGAAGCACCAAGAAACGAACTGGTGACCGTCATCTGACGATTTTTACCTTTGATGTCCTTGACCAGTGCTCAAAAGTCCTAGATTTCTCAACAGCAAACACTCCATAGATGGCCATTAGCCAGACACCTGAACTTCAACACTCTTTGGTTTGGACACTGTTACTGAGACTCAAAGTTAGCTATTATTGGTATCAGGAAGGTAAAGTACATGAAGTTCAAAGAAGAAGCTATTATTATTATTAGGATTTCTGCAACATGTTTAGATATATGATTACTCTGTATTCAGACTGTGAGAGAGGACTAGACATTCAGCAGATAACAGGAAGGCTAAATGGAGCACAGCAAAGTTCCTTTAATTTTCCTGTTGAATAGGACTGAATTTAAGACAATGTAGGTCCCAGGGATTTTAGCAATTTTATGTACTCCATTTCCACAAGTTTATTTTACACAAAATTAAACTGATAGGTACACGTTAAGTACCTTTCTTGCTCAAGGACCTCCAAGGCTTTGTATGTATTTCAGGCTCTTGTAGCAAAGGGTTATCTACAATTACAATTACCCAATAAACTTGTTGTCTTCCATTGTGGAAATAACTAAGCCCTTTACCTCACCATTCACCACCATTTTATTTACATAAAATGTAACAACCATTTCTTCTTATGCTTATAACTTCACCATGTGACAACCAAATACTAACACCTAGTGGCTAAAACTAGTATTGACGGCTATGCCATTACAAAGCTATTTAACAAAAACATTGATCAGTGTTTTCACATTTTTAAGTGTTTAACAACACAAATTACGAGAAACAGACACGTTAGCACTATAAAACCGAATGGGTTAATGTGAAACAAAGGTGTACAGAATAGTTAATAGGCGTAGGAGGATGTTAAAACAATATTAAGCCGATATAAACCGACCGTGGAGCTTATTATGCCTTCAAAAATACATTTTCAGGGAGCAATCCGTTCCATTAAAAAAAATGACAAAACTCTTTATAGGCCTATTTTTTAAAAAATTGTAACGCCCACTGTAAATAAAGTAAACCAAGTTCCTTCAAAAGTAATTAATTATTCATTATTTTTACGATAAAAAATCAAGTGAAATTGTATTATTTCAATCGCGGATAGATATTATCAATTATTTCAACCAACTGCACAGCCGTATTCATGTCTATGAGGCGAACAAGTAACCACGGCAACTGGTGCACATGCGTACTTGCATGCTTATATTTGCGACACTACGATACGCCACACGGCAGCGAGTAAAATGTGAACGCGGACAAGGTGGATGCGGAGAAAAGAAGATACGTATTCAAGCTAGTCCGCTTTCAGACGTTTACAAGTCAGTATGAATCAGTTGACTTTGAGATTAATATGCTGTTTACAATGTCAGTGACTCTAGCTGCTGTCTGTTTCCCCCTCACACATCCATCTTTCCTTTCTTTCATTCCAGAGACGTGATCGGCCACATTTGTTTGTGACATGGCAAACCCTTTAAAGGGTCAAGTTATCAGACTGTACAAAACTGTAAGTTCTGTTTCGTTCCTTTCTGACTACTGGTGGTAGTCATAGAGACAGTTAGACTTACAAACATGTTTCATATTTGAATGCCTTACATTTCTTAAGTTTTACTTGGAAATTATCTATGAATTTGGTGTTTTGAGATATAAACTATATAGTGACTTAGCCTACATTATAATGTGGTGTGTGAAAATTATTCACGTTAAAACGTTTTCCCTTGATAATAAACTTAACAATTAAGCAATTAGAAGGCTTTCAGGTAAAACTGGTCAATAAAAGGAAGGAGTCTTTGATAAACTTTCATTTGTGAAAGTGAATGTAAAATCTGCAACTAACACTTTGATCAAAAACCAAGTCAGTTCTCCTTTTTACCAGTTCGTGTCTAATTGTGCCATGACGTCTTCTTCTACTTCCATTTCATAAACTATTTTAAGATTGGTAATATCTTTCTTGAAATTAAGCTAGTATTCAAAATGAAGTCTCATGTTTGATTTAATTCTACATATTTTTCTTTTAAACTGTAATTATGAACTAAAGTATTCACTCATAAACTATATTTTGATATTTGAGGCCTGAATAAACAGTTGAGCAGTCTGATAAAATACCCAAAAAAGTCAGGTGTGTGGCTACCAGGCCACGATCTCTTGCATGTTACAACTGTGGTTGACAAATTACCCTGCCTATCTTTGTCTGCTGTAGATTTTTTTCATTTTCCAGTGTCCAGGTTTTTCTGACTACACACTCATTCATTTTGTTCAGCCTAATATGTTGTTGCTTCCTCCTCTGGTTGTTGGTCCTACAGAAGGTTGTTGGATCAGGGGTGATTCAATTGCCACGTAGCACCTTCCTTGCTCAAATTTTGCCCCTCAGACTACATGAACGAAGCCATTAATCAGACTCGGACCCCATTTATGTCCGAGGGTGGAGGTCAAACACCTGCTAAATGCAGGTCTACACAGACATGTAGGAGTTCACAGAACCATAGCTCCATACTTGCCTTTGGTTTAGTAAAAAAAAAAAACAACAACTAAATGCTCTGAAGTAAAGCATCTTATTTGACTTTTTGTTGTCATTTTCCAGCTGCTGTATCTTGGTCGTGAGTACCCAAAAGGAGCAGCTTATTTCAGAGAACGACTAAAGCATGCGTTTATGAAGAACAAAGATGAGACTGACCCTGAGAAAATCAAACAGCTGGTTGCCAGAGGAGACCACGTCATCAAAGAGCTGGAGGCCCTTTATTTCCTCAGAAAATACCGGGCCATGAAGAAGCGCTACTATGACCCCGAGAAGTGAGAACAAACTGTATTTTTCATACAAAAGAGACATGGAGACGAGTAGAAACATAAGCTGCAATGCAATTACTGTTCTCTTCACAATTTTAAATAAGCCCTACAAAGTAAATATCATACTGTTGTCTGCAGAAAACCCCAAAAGTTGGTTTTCAAAATATCTACTTTTTACGTTATTTTTTTTAACGAAAGATGCATGCAACGCTAAACTCTAAAATTGCACAAATGCAGCTTTAGACGATGAAGCCTCTTCTTGACTTTGTATGTCACTGTGGCCTAAATATCTGATCTCTGTCTCCACTGGCCATAAATCTTTTCTCCTGAAGCCGTTCAGGTTGTGCACTAGAACTTGGACTCCAGTGAAGCTTAAGTTTTGGTGCAATCAGGCTTTCTTTATGTATTTTTTAACTCATGTTCTTGCTTTCTTCAGAATGTAATTATTAAGACTCAAAGAGCCGTGTGACCTCTGTTATCGGTGCATTGTTAAATGGAAATGTCTGCCTTTTGTATAATGAAATGCTTTGAGTTGTAATGCAATTCTGTATTAACACATTTATACGAATGTGGTCCAGTTGCTTGGAAAAATAAATGTCCTATACTGTATTAAAGTACTATTTACAGGTAATAAATGTTTTTTAATGCTAAAATATTGAACCCATTTCATTTCAATGACATAAATATATGATAAAATATATCATATATTTTATCATATAAAATATATGCTACTGGTACTTTTAGTGTCAATGCTGTGGAAATTCAACGCACAAACTGTTGAGACTTGCATTTGTCATTATCGTAGCTGTATTTGAAGATATTAGTTGAGCCATTGTGACCCCTGGTCCGTTGCAATTTATGAAAAAACCAGAGGTCTGGTAGCAGAAAGCAGGCTTTGCACAGTGTCAACAAAGCAGTAATGGGACTTTCTGACCAAAGCTATCCCATCAGGGCTCATGCTGTCCTGCAGAGCGTGGATGAGTGTGGAGTGGAACTCGCTGCCAGCAGCGTGGTCGGTGGAAAAAGCTTCACTGTTCTCAGTGATCTCCAGTTGCCTACTCCTCTGTGAACCCATAAAGTAAATATTCCAAGAGTCTTCAGGTACAGGGCCGGCTTTGAGGTGCTCACAGCCCTGACAGAAAAGACAGACACGCAGATGAGTACAACAGAACAATTAAGATGTACTGCATTGGGTTATGTAGTCTTTCCTTAGTCTAACAAAACCATGTTGCTGGTGATTAATGGACTGTTTTCACTCTGTCATGAGGCACAACATGGAACTGCTGCTGCACATGTTACGCAACAGGTTGTTGCTAGGTAACCAATGAGCGAGTGAGTTTGTTGATGCCATGCCTTGCTTAGGTTGAGCAGCTAAAGTCTTTCACTCTGCCTACATCCCCCAGAATGCTGTGTGATTTTGGATCGGGGTTCAATTAATGTTCTATATATTGAATATTCCATCAGCTGTATTATCTAAAGCTATTGATCACGATTCTTTTGCAATTTATATATCATTGCTGATGTATTGTCCAGCCCTAGTTCATGTCCAGCACTTTGAGCTGCTTTTAGTATGAAGGATGCTTTATAAATAAAATTGATTGATTAATTTATGTCATCTCTAAAGAAAAATAAAGGTTACCGGGAATAAAAGTACCTGAAGGACCAGATTGTCCTCTCCACATGTGGCATTCCACTTGCTCCATGAAAAAGCACAAGCTGATGCATAGAGGGCCATCTGGTCATAAGCAAACTGTTCTATACGTGGGTTCTGAAAAAGAACAGAAAGAAGCAGGATGTTTTCTGATGCTGCGAGGAACAAAATGTAATTTCCTGACTTGCACAATCAAGTTAGGCCAATTTCAATATTGTGGGTCCCCCATGTGGCGTTAGTGAAGCACCAACAGTTCCTATCCTGTAATCTAATCTTCGTCTAACATTTTTATTGGGGGGGTTGTTGTCCAAATGTGGCAAATGTTGTCCATCAATAAAGAGACCTTTAGGCACATTTCCTTTTAATGTAAAAAAAAAAAAAAACATGGCAAGATGGAAAACTTCTCCATTCAACATGTTACTCATTTTCAACAAGTCTAACCCCGACTACCCATACAGCAAACACAAAAATCAGAGCATTCCTGTACCTTTTTTTGCAAAATGATCAAATGAAATTGCTACAGGATGCAGACCTTCTTGCAGATGCTGACGTATTTGTGCGTGTTCTCGTTAACAAAGATGTCGATCCCTGCCTTGGCCATGGCTTTCTGCAGAGCCGGTCCGCTCATCCACTTCCCCACGAGGTGAGAGAGGCCTCTGCCCTGCGCCACCTGCAGCATGCACTGACTATTCTGTTCATCAGATTCATAACAAACAAAATGTTAACGTTTGTTCTTCTTAATAAATCCATTATGTATTCATTTACATCTTGCAAATAAAGATATAAAATGGAACAATTTTCATGATAAATATTCTTGTAAACCAGAATAAAAAGCCATTCAGCTCATCTCTAAATATTTTCTCCAACAGCAGGTGAACAGAAAAAAAGTGTCTTGCCTCGATGGTGATGGAGATCTGAATGAGAGCCCCCTTGACAGTATAAATAGCTGAGTTTTGGCCCAGCGGCCGCAGCTCCCAGCCCCGGAAAGGAAAGTTGGCGAAGGTGTTGCGCATCAGTGCGAAGATCTGGAATGACTCCATCTCAAAGGAGATTTTGCCTTCTGCCTCCTCGTAGGAGACGTTGATGATGCCGTCCTTTCGCCAGCGGCCCTCTGGGTGTGCAGAAGTCACCGTTAGTGGCGTCACAGTACAAAAAGCATTCATTCCTCTGGAACTGTTTCCACATTTTGTTCCATTACATCTTAAAACTTCAGCGTGTTTTGATCGGGACTCTATGCGATAGATCAACACAAACTATCACTATTGTGAAGGAGGATCTTTTCCCCCCTCGCATTTTATTATTGTAACACATGAAAAGGTTCAAGAGGGATGAAAATTGTTGTCCAACTTCTGTGCTGGTTTCTGATGCATGTACCTGCAGCGTCCCAGCGAGCCACGAGTGGCATCTCCATGAAGATAACCCACTCGGGAAGCACAATGGACACCCCAACAGGGGAGCACGCCCCCTTGTTGGGTTTTTCTGTTGGGTCATCGGAGCACTCCTTTTTGTTGGACCTTTCTATTGGGTAAGGGAATACCTTCAGCCCATCCACCATCTAGAAGAACAAACCATTGATCTTTGAAGATCTGCTGAATTCAACCTGAGCTGGGGTTTGGGCAGAAAAATCCTGTTGTAATCACCTGCAGTATCGTGTACCCCTTTCTCCTGATAGGCTGAGGTGGGAGTTGGAGAAGATCGTAGTAGAAAACTCCACCCAGGGTTGTGTACTGAACCAGATTTACAACCTCTGTGTCATCTTCTTTCTCTTCGAATTCAGGCACAGGTGGACTCAGAGAGTTCAGCTGTGCCAAGCTGGGCCAGGATGGATCCTTGGCTGTGGATAAAAGGAGGTCCTTTTATTTCAAGGTGGAAAATTACATAAGTTTTAAGAGTAATGACAACTTCTGAAGAGAATAAAAAAAGATCTAATTTTAAAAATTCTACATTAAGTTTTTTTTTTCTTTACTTGGACCATCAGATAAAACCAGGCTGCAAATGTGACCACTGAGTTCTTCTGTCTGTGCAGGTATCACGCTTTCCTCTGAAGACGGCCGGCTGGTGCTTTTTACGGGCGGCTCACTGGCTGGACTGCGAGGGGTAAAGGGCAGTTCACTGGTGCAATCACCATCCTGCAGTGAGAAAAGGAAAGCAAGGCAACGGGTTTGGGTCATCACAAAGTCATCTCTTGGAAGGAACGTGGCCGCTATTTTGACAAATCGGGAAGAACAAAGATCACACTACAGCATAAAAAAAAAAACAGTTTCTGTGAGTAATCTGTGAGTAATACTCAAACCTCTCCCGCTCTTCCTACTGTGAGCCATGCGAAGGTTTTATGGCATAAGAACTCAAAGCCGAAAGGCATACTTCATGGACAGCTTAATATAATGAAATTAAGACACTATTAACACATTCACACCTTCATTTTTTTCTCTTTAAACTCAAACTAGTTTCATTGATGTACCTGATTATAAGTGCTACAGAACCAGTATTTGGTCTCTGGTTGAAGTCTGCCTTGGTGAAGGTTTGCTGTTGTATGTGTGGCCGGTAGGGACATCATCACCTCAGTCTCATGTCAATTGTCTCAATTGTTCATTTCTGTTGTAGCATGGTTTGAGAGGTCATATCTTACTTTAAATGTGAAAAAAAACTGTATCGATTTGTTTTTCTTTAAGGTCCTGGTTGGTGATCAGTAGCTCTGATTGAAACTTGAAAATCAATGGCCAGCATTTTAAGCAGATGTGAAATATTTGGGCAGGATTATGGATTCTAATCTAAAATTTTAGACGTGTTGAAAAACGTCCTTTCGCAAAACTTCTTTTGGACAATCAGCCATCAGTATGTGGGATTTCTTGCCTGAAGACATGGAACAGGTTTCAGATTGGCACGTTTTTAAACTGAGGGTGAAGAGCATCTTAAAAGGAATCAGGTTTAGAGCCAGCCATGATCATTTCCTCAAGGTTTTGCTCGCCTGTTTTATCCCTTGATGACGTACTAGATGACTTCTGGTTTAGCTGTATCGATATTATCGTATGTCTATGTGGTTAAAAGCCCATCTGGGGACATGCATTGCAACTTAGCTAAGGCTACAAATATTAGCGTTTGTCCCCATTCAAATAAACAATAAACAAACAGTTAAAATGAAAATACTGCTAAAACATGAGCTGATTTGTTTTGACCAACTCGGGTTTCCTCTGGCTGCTGGGCGGGCGGAGGAATCTCCTCCACTATCGGCTTCTGAGGCAGATGCCTGAGCCTGGACAGTATCGACAGGTGGTCATAGTGGGTGTGGAGGATCCGCACGGCGATGTCGCTCACAGCCAGCTCCTCGGGAAGCTTAAAGCTCAGGCCAGCTTCCTGAAAGTCAAAACCTGTAAAGCTAAAGACAGAAAATCCAAACCCGTGAGTGTGTCAGTGCAAGGACAGGGGAAGGATTTGAATATTCCCAACCGATTCGCCCAATAACCTTGGATTTTTGAAGAGGTTGGCCCAGAGGCACAGCGTCACATTTTTGTGTTTGGACACAGTCTGCATGTTCCTTGTGTCGGGGTCAATGTTGTCGCTTGCTCCCTGTGACAAAGACGAAACAGGAGGATTCAGCGTAACGGGTTTCCACGCATTGGGCTCTTCATTTGCTAACATAAATAAATGAAGCTTGTTTTTGTCCTACCTTTAGGAGCTTCTCAGCTATGAAAAGGTGCTTGGCGTGGAGAATCTCCTGGACTTCTATGAGAGCATCGTGGTACTTTGGGACCAACTCTGGATCTTTGGCCTCTTTCATAAGCTCATCCAACGCTTCAATAAGCTACAAACATAACCCGTGCTATCACAGTGCCTTGCAAAAAACATTCTCATTCTTGAACTGTTTCACATTACATCCAAAAACCTTTAATGTGCTTTACTGGAATTTTAGATGATTGACAAACAAAGTAGAGCATGATTATGAAAAGAATGGAAAATGATGCATGGTTTTCAACAATGTGGTCTCCCTGAGTCAACAGTGTAAACACTGCGTAGAGGTGTGTAGTATGGATACACACCTTTACTGCTGAGTTGCATAGTTGAAGCTCCTCTTCGATGTCGGTGTCTGAGTAATCCTTCCACAAGGTGACGAATGTATTGACCGCCCGCTGGTCCTTTGCATCTGGGACTCCATCGCAAAGCATGTATCTCTCCCACTGAGCGCAAAGATTGGACAGAACTATCAAGAATGATCACACTGAAATCTCTACTTTAGTAAATCAGTGATTCTTGAGAATAGGGACAAAATGGGTTTTAATTTTCCCATTTTTTTTTTTATTATTTCTCAACCTTATGTGTGCAAA